AGTGGCAAACCGTAAACCAAAGAAGGGACCAAACGAGTTGAAATGAGAAATGGAATTCCTTTCTATTTCTGACAGACCAAAAAGTCAAACCTTTTTAGTTGCAGGAGTATTAAAGAAGAGTGTAAAAGAAGAGTCAGAAACTAAATAAAGTGTTTTGAAAACCAATCGTAAAGAAGGGCAGAGTTTAAAAAAATGCATACCGGTGTTAATGAGAAAACTGAAAAATGGGTACTTAGCGATTTAAGAAAACCAATTTATTATAGGCTAGTTAAAAAAATTTCAAATTTTATACATACGTTGTCTGTGAATTTTATGTGCAATTTTCTTACCATGATTTTTATTTCTTTGTATTTCAGGTAAGAAAATTAACGTCGTGCTTCTTCAGATTTTCGTCCCAATCACACCAGATCACCAGGATCTCCAAGTAATAATTCTCTTACTCCCGAAAAGATACCGGCAAAAATGTCAAATTATACTTGCTCATCCACTCAACAATACCATCAGTTTTCTCTCCCTGACTGACCAGCATAAATACAACTTTTTCACCTTTTTCTTATGAGAGAACAATACCCACGACAAAAGTGGGAACACACTTTTCTTGCCTTTTTATAAAAGGGGGAAGAAGATTCCTCCCCGTTCTCTAAAAAAAGGTAGAAAATTCGTCGTTGATGTTATCTCATCTCTCCACATTATGAATCTTTACGACTGAATGGATTTATTTATGTCCATGATTCTCAAGCTGCGTGTCCCACACTGAACTCGATATTCTCATCATTTCGTCACGAATATGTATGTAGGCAGCCGTGTTTCGTTAAGGTAGCTGAGATGAAACTGAAAGTACTTATAACTACCGTCGCAAGTATGGTTTCCTCCTTAGTTTATGTCAACTTTTCATCATTTGTGTCCTAATATGAGATGACAGAGTTGCGTAAGGTTCACGACTGACTCCTTCAAAGTCAGAATGTTGGGTGTGCGTGAAAGGTAAGACAGTTTCTTATCTATGAACGAGGTACATATTATAACGTATGTACATTGTACATTAGATAAATTAATGAGGAAGGTTAGTTTAGTTTTGGTGAAGAGCGCATCTTTCAGTTGGTTTCTTACTTATTTGTGTTTGTCATGATAAATAGATACTCAAGTGGAGATGAGGTTGAGAGAGGGTGGAAAGATTCAAGCTTTTGTTGGCAGTCTTGCTTTTGGCACCTGGATTTTAGAGTGATGGTGACCATGTACATACATGCATAAGTACGTGCATACATTTGTACATGTGGGTACTCAATTTTGATAAATATGTACCTGAACTTTTGATCAAGGTACATTTTCTATAATAATTTTTGCGTTTTTTTAACAACTCATTTATTAATTCCTTTCCAAAATCATGAAATATTTAGCACGCTAATATTAAATCCTAGAAGAATCGTGTTTATATTTTGGGCACACATTTCACCCATTGGTAACTTCCTTTTTAGCCAATATTTCACTTCCTCAGCTTCATATCAAATGTAATTTAAGTCTTCGTAAATAAATTCAATACGCTTTAACCCACTCACTCGTCCGAATGGATTGCCACGTTGGTGGTCTGGTCTGATGGCATCTTTTGGAACTTGATCATCGCACTTACTTGTTTTTGTTAACTGGAAGAAGGCGCAGAGATTCATCACCTCCTTTTTTAACCTCTACCTACATTACTTACTCGTCATCACGTGTTATTTTAGTAGATGTAATAAATGGGACTAAGTGGGTATTTGGTTTCGTTTCCTTGCTTTTGAATCATGCAATGCCATCATCATGTCTGTAATTCTGGAAGAATTTTTAGTAACGACGTGTGTACATACGTCATGGTTCCAATAATACATATTTCATTTCATCATCAAGATGAGAAATCTGCTTAACGGATACCATTCATCCTTCCTGTTACCGCATACACGATGCATCAACATCTTCCGCTCTGGAAGGTTAGGTAGGTTAATCGTGACCTCATCCCCTTAAAAAATTGCTGGAAGGCACACCTTAAATATGTGTCTCCTACTTCTTGACTGGAGTCATGACTTGCTAAGTATGATGGGATTTATTGTACCCACATATTTACTTTCTTACATGCCAGTGGGTGTGGCAATGCGCACATTTAATCGGGTAACAAATCATGCCATTATTTAAAATAGAGTCTCAATCTCAAGAGTTACTAATGCAAGGGGAATTCAATAATAGCATATTCACATGTGCAAGTATTCACATTAATCACATACCGATTTAAGATTCGTGACGACAATGTCAAAGTTGTTGTGTTACTGTTCACTGTTTTAAATTGGGAATTGATTAAGCAAATTCGATGATTCATTTTGAAAGTTCATTTTTGGAAAGTTGGAAAATAATGTCCTATTATGTAAGCGTTATTGACATACAACTTTAAATGCGAAATACCAAGGAATCGATTTACCCTGCGAACTACTTTTACACCACTTTTTTTGCGAAGTCATCTCTAATACGCACGAAGTGTGTGTCAATCGTTTGGCGAAAAATAGCGAAATTTTGCACCTATTTCACCCCATGGTTCCGGAAGTTACACAAACTCCAGATAAATTTCTACACTCAAGATCAGCAAAACTTGAGTTGACATAATAGGAACATATATAACTTTTACACACCGGAAATCACAGAGTCCTGCTATTTATTCCCCGTCTTGTAACAACCGAGAAGAAAACAAACACATTTCCAAAAGAAGATGTAGAAAAGAAAGAAACCAAACTTTGAACTGACAGCATTGTGCGAGATTTGAAGTTGAAGGAAGTCTTGGTAAACGTTGTGGAATTGAATATGGCGAAAAAAAGCAAACACTCGCACAATGCGAAGTCTGCAGTAATAAATTATGGCGTGTGTGGGACAGTGGAAAATAAACAAGTGCCAATTTCGAGTTTTAACCAGATTGGAAAATACTTGTGGTGGTACTGAACTTGAAAAAAGGAAACCAATTCATGTCCTAACATAAATTTATCCAGAATAACCAGACGTGCTAGAATATCGACATTTACTTTAAATGGAAAATTCATACTTTTCATGTTTCACTACATTTTCGGCGAAAAAGTTTTCCAGTGAAGTTCCCACGCTTTGAAATGAAAGATGATGATTGCAGAAAATTGGAAATAACTGATTTAAGGAATTTAAAAGTACGAGAGGTGTACATTTTTCATAAAATTGCAAAATATAAATGCATTGTAAGCACCACCATAATTTCCTCCCACAAATTATAACAACTCGATATCAACGTACGCATCTTCCCTGCCGGATTTAAATACTCCTGTCATCACCTTTCTCGCAAAAATAATTAATTTCATAATAATTGCGGTGTGCACCAGCCTGGAAGTAAGTAATTTTGTTCGCATAAATACAAATAAATACTAGCTACGATTTAAAACCTTTATTACTTTGGTCAGAGATATAACGCCCCAATTCCCACCTTGCCCTGCCGAATTATGAGCAGATAGCATTATTATAATTACAATGGCCGTCGCCGTTGTGAAGAATGGAAGTGATAATGATATCCTCCCACTCCTCGCCATAATGAGAGGGATACCTTGCTCATGCATTATACATACGTGACCAGAATATATTTATGTATGGATGTATTAATGTATAAGGGACACTTTAAGGGGAAGGCTCCTTCCGATCTCAATTCGTGATACGGAGCCATTAACAGAATTGTGAACACGTACAAACCCATACCGTTTTGAATTGGCCAGGTGTAACATTTCCTCTGGGAAAGGACAAACTGTGTGATATATTTGGGAGAAAGATTTCAAAAGGTTGGATGGGAATTGAGATGTAAAATTGTGAAGAAGTTTCGTAATTTGAAGTCTAATTTTGAAGTTACAAATTTCACAGTATTTTGAAAATTATCTCGGAAACTATGCACACTTTTGTTAACAAATTTTCGTAAATGTGTATATTTAAAAAAAATATGTAATCGATCTAATTTTCATGACGAGCTTTGAACGAACGCTTTGAGCGAACAATTAAGTCGTCACTCGTCAAATAGTCATTGCATATCAAAAAATACTGAACATATGGAACAAACAGGTCTCCTTGTTCCTGTTATTATCAAAATGCAACAAAAATTTGGAGGAAACTTCATACATTTTCATGATATTCATATCCTCAGTCCGGATGGAAATGTCCTTGTCTGACATTTAGAAAATATGTCCGTCGGTTTGGAAACCTTACGAAACTTAAGTTATGAGGAGGATGCAATAATTCTCACGTCGGGGACACATGGGAGCCTTGACGACATGTTGTTTGGACGTTTGACATCCTCTTCTTTACACGATGTGATTATCATGTCGAACTAAATATGCAATAATTTGGGGATGTTTGCTTGGGTGGTGGCATGGCAATGACTGGAGTGTATATAGGGCTGGGTGGCTTTAATAATAGTGTTAATATGGATCTGTAACACCAGTCAGAAATGGTACGAATTGTCAAAATTGGGTATTCAGAAAAACTAATTTGTGACACAGCTGGACCAAATTGGATTTGGACTGGTCACTTATCTATTTCTTGTATTTTCCAATCATGTATCCGTACGGGTGGTTATAAATCAATGCGTAATAATATTAATACCAAATCTAGACCACACAGATCTGTAGGCAAACTTTATGCCACGACATAACTCAATGTGTGTCCCTTTTCGCTGATGTCACTGTCCATATTAAAATACATGGTTGAAAATGTTCAGCAATAATTCAGGTGCATATTTATGTACGATTTTCTTAACCTGAAAACCTAACACAACATTTTATGAGAGTGATGATGATACAGCGAAGTTAATATTATTTATTTGTTTTCCACTCCAATCCACTATTTGAACTTGAGGTAATCTCTCAAGTAAATACGTAGAGAAGATAATGGATTAGCCGTGTCAAGTAAATATTTACAATTTATCCACTTCTGTCTTCTTACCTACCACAAAAATTATGTACAAATATGGAATGCAACAAGGTCGATCAGGTTAGATGATTTTATTTGAGGCATAAATAATTTTTTGTGCACATTCACTCTTCGTATTTAAGTAAAATGTGTAAACCCATTAAAAACCATGGGCAAAATTGCATCGTTCACTTTTTGCTTAGTTCGTTGGACAGCCAATCCAGGCCTTCGTATAAGCCGTGTCCTTGGGGGGCACATGTACTTTGAATATTCCACTGGAAAAGGATACAAAATAAAAATTATTTCATAAAAACTTCAGGTTTTTGTAACCGTGTAAATGTTGTAAAAGTTACAATTTTTTGCAAAATTATGAATAAAACAAACGCCTTCCATCTGTGTACATAAGTTAATGGTACGTACACGTGCATGCCGATTTTGCTTCGTAATGTTTATAAATTTGTGTGCGTTTGAAACTTTTACAGAGTTTACCAAGTTACAACCACCCATGTGAACTTTTTTGTAGCATTATATCATGAAAATTGGAATTTTTACCGTATGACTTCGATAAGCATTCAAACCAAGCTTATCCACCAGTTCGGCAGACGACATGGCGTTCGGGAGATCCTGCTTGTTTGCCATAACCAACAGAACCGCATCCCTCAATTCGTCTGCTTCCATCTAAAAATTTGAAAACGTTGGAATTACAATTATTTCAATTTTTGACACATTTTCAATCGCAATTTTCACCATTTTATGCAGCTCTTCCCTCGCATCCGTGATCCGTTCTCTGTCCGTAGAATCCACGACGAAAATAATCCCTTGCGTATTTTGGTAGTAGAAACGCCACAAATTTCTGATAGCTCCTTGACCACCTACGTCCCAAACGGTGAAGGAAATATTTCTATACTCCACCGTTTCTACGTTAAACCCTAGGAGAAGAAATTCTGTAAATATTTTCAGAATAACAGAATATGAAAATTGTACAATTTTTACCTATGGTCGGAATGGTTGTCACAACTTCGGCCAACTTGAACTTGTAGAGAATTGTGGTCTTTCCAGCGGCGTCGAGACCAACTTAATAATAATCAAATGAATTAATTAACTAACCAAAAATTTTGGGAGATTTTGACTGGGTTTTTATACCCATCAAAATTCGGACGCTCTTATTCCCCCAAAGTAATCGGGACAACAAGGTTGACAAATTTAGACCCATTTCAAAAACAATTAAACAAAAGTGTGAACTTCAAAAAATTCGGAAAACAGCAAATAGTGCAATTTGTACGCGATTGTGAAACGACAAATTTTTTTAATGTTTGAAAATTTCCTGAAAATTTTGGCTCGCAAAATTAAGCGTCGGTGTGTCGGCTGCACTATAAAACCGAATTTAACAGTGGTGTTTATCGAACTTATAGGAAGTTAGTAGTAACAGGTGAGAGGAAGTATCTCATTTTTATATGCACTTTTGTCCACGTCGCCTAAGTTAAAGCATTGATTTATCCGCCCCGTTACATACGATGCAACGAACGGGAAGCAACAAATTTCAAGCAAAGTACACCAAGTTTGCAATATTTTTGCACATGCTGATGAAACTTGGTGAGCCCCTTGCATTTCATGTGCAAAATACATGTAAACGTTGCAAGTTCCACATCACGCAAATGTTGGTGTTTGTGTTTTGTCTGAGTCAGGTCTGGTGTAGCACACGTGTATCTTTGTATTCATACTTGACAGTCCATGCTGTATTGTACACATAAGTATTTGTAGTGAGTGATTTTTATCGCATTTAAATGGACAAGTAATCAGTGACTAACTGCACTTGCAGCACTCCAGTTCATCATGGAAATTATACGCAAATTCTGTGAGTTATTGAGTACAGATAAAAGGACATTTTCACATTTTCATATGTAAAGAAATTTAATAAAGTGTAGGACGTTGATTAGAATCCAGGGAAGTCAGACTTAATTATTCGTTAGTGGGTTCCGCTGACTAAACTAATTTTCATGAAAACCTTCACACATTTTAGCAAAAAAAAACAATTAAAATTAAATTTGGTGCAAATAGCATCCAAAATTGTATTAAAGTTTTAACTAACGATAATTACGACGTACATCCCTAAACTACATAGGTAAGCCTACAATACATGAACATGCATATATATATGATGCTGCGTAACCATGATAAGTGTTCTTAATACCTAGCGAAGATTATCTACTACTTTTTCCGGATTACGGAGTACACGACTTCGGCCGGAGTACGGGAGAACGCGAGATCTCCGATCTGAATACATATGTATCTACATATGCATACCGATATTTCAGTATGTGTATATGTATGCCTGTTTGTACATTGTCCTGAAACAATTCTCTTACGGATTGCAAGTTAATGTCAATCTATTATTGTCCATATTGTTGTAGCGGGGAAATAAAAAGGTCAGCTTTGTTATCGCCGTGAAACAATGAAGGTCATCAAACTGTAGTGTCTTGGCGAGACACAAAATACCGCCTAAGGCACAGAATCCGGCTGTATTTATATACACACGGTATCCAATATATCAAATTATGACGATAATAATAAGCCAATCATTAAATAGATTCCGACAAGGAGGGCGAATAATAAATAAGTCTGACTATAACAGAAAACAGGACAGGAATAACCTCAATTTTGCTCATGCACCAAATAATTTCAGGAATAAATATTTTGACGTTAATCAAATCGTGAGGTGGACATTGATAATAATGTTCAGAAGCAAAATAGCAAATTATAAATAGAAAGTTGGATCGTGATCACATAATAAAAACTTTTCGAAAATTTGTCCTGACCGTAAACCCATATTCAAACTTATCTAATCTCATGCCGTCAACCGTACGATTTTCTTTTATGGCTCAGAAACTGAAAAGTGTAGATCCTGACACTAATTAGAATTTAGATCACTTTGGCATTTAACACACGTTCATTAACCTTAACATCTTACTCTAGATACCCGTTTTTCGCACAATCGCTTAAAGAATGGGGACAAACACATGTACGCAAATGCGACATTATCTCATTTTCGCATGTACATATTTTCTGAACCAGATTTCCTAACAACAAAAATGTCAATTGATATTTTCCCTTCAAAACTTTACGATAAGTATTTTTCGCATTTTAAACAATTCCTCCAACCCCGAAATTAACCACGCTAAACCAGTTACACACATTACTTACTTAAAAGCTAGGTGACACAATGCCGAAAACTCTTCATCTTTTCACTCGATGGAATATATTCATTCATACTTTTAGCTTTTTTGGCAAGGCTCCACATTATGCAACCCAACCCACCACTCCAGACCAGTTCATCTCGCTTCTCTTCTGGCACTAACCTCCACATCAAAGTGTGTACTTCCACCATTACACAAGCCATGTTCTTCTTACATCGCTGGGAATGCATGTTGATGTCAAAAGCAAAGCCATGGCGTTTAGTAGTCGAGCCAACCCTCTCACTTTTACTTCAGTCACACTGCAACCTCTGGCAAGAATAGAGCTACGGACGCCTCGAACCTCGCCAAAATCGAGTTTTGCACTCATTGCTGCCATTTTTCACCGGTGTTCAACTTTTCATTCACCAAGAAAGTTCTGGATTTACTTAAAAGCATTTCAAAAAGAAGTCAAACTTGGAAAATCTTTAAAATTCTTGTTCTAAATTTTTTCAAGTAACAGAAATTGTGTTCCCGTGTAATCCTCCGCATCTGGTTTCACTAAAAGTGTCAAATGCTGCAAAATAAGTGTCTCACTCACGATTGTGATCTAATCTAGATAGAAGTTGTGCCAATCGGTTAAAAATTCTGACGAAAGTACAGCATCGGCAAAAATCGGTGTAAAAGGATTAGTTCAGGATCAGTTATATTTTTTTCGGGACGGAAATAAATGCATGCATACACATTTACATCCTTATGTAAATACTTGCCAGTGTGATTTTCTCTAAGAGTGTGCAGTTTTCGTAAATAGTTTGAGTGTGAGAGAGAGAAAGAAGTAAAATGAGGAAATTTAGTTGGATCCTTGTCACCCTGGTGGGAATCTTACTGATTTCTGGAGTCACGCAAAAAGGTAGAGTACAGATACAAAAATCTAGTCAAATTAATGTTATGCGTAAATCCTGTACAATTCGGAAATTTACAAACGGTTAAGAAAATCTCAAACTTAAGGCGTCACTCTATTTTACTTTGTAACATAAGCTTACAAAACTTGCACCTTTTACTAAATACCCTAGCGAGCTGTGCAATTGCATAAAAAAGTATAGCGTTTTCAGGCCACATAAAGACACCGGCCGGCATATTCATGTACATCTCTCATGATCAAAATGTAATTTAATCCACTTTTCGGATAAATAGCTTCTGCCCGACATTATATAGATTGACCATTCGATTTCATTACGAAGGTTGAGGTGTATGCAGTCGAGAATTGATTGACTTTGTCCTGCTGCACCCCGTAATTACCAGAACTTACATACATACATACATAGAATGCATGCCCAGAGTCCATTTGGTTTCTATGTACGATACGCAAAGCGAGGTTTTAGCTTCTTACTCGTGATACATACACGTCTTGAAAGGGAGAGATCAATGAAATGCTAACTGTAATGCCATGACGAACGGTCAGCTCGGCATATGTACATTCATATAAAGTATCGATCTTTACTGGAGGAATGGAATAAATAAATTGCTTTGCCCTTCACCTCCGCACTGGTCGGTTAATCTTAAACCATATTTCCAATTCCTACTCGAACCTGTAACAGTACGGGGAACACTTGAGTTTGGATATTTGACGCATATGCCAAGAATGAAATGCTTCTCCGTATGTATGAATTTAGGTATTTCAATCATCTAAGTAAGTAATAAAAGTGAACACCTAAATAAATAAATATACATATTTATGTACTTCGTTTTTAGTGTTGTTAACACCACCAAAAAGTCATGCATACATACGTTGGCTGATTTAAACTGCATACCATTTTTGAAAGTCTGTGCATTTACATTTTGATTTTATTTATGGTTTTATTGGCACAAAAATTTACACTGAAACTGCAAAACTGGTCTTCGTTAGTGTAATAAATTTAATACTTTACTTAATTAAAGGATGCTCTATGCATGTGCTGTCAATCTTACCACTTTTACCCGAGATCCCACATATTTAAACAAATATGGACCATGCATTTAAAATTCCATGTTCCATGGTGTGGTCTTCATGGTTTTCGCCCTGGCTCCAAACCCCACTAGTCTCCCTCCTACCACACTTTTAATAAATGTAAACATGTCCAAAGTCAGTTTTATGATAAATACAGTACTGAAACGATTTCGAATATGGTTAAATTGAGCACTTGCACACTCCGAAACGTGCCTCCCAGCTACTAAAGCGCTGCTTAAAATTGTAAATTTATTACAAAAATGTGAGCATTACGCCACAACGGACTCGTTATCCGTTTTACTACCGATTGTTGTGCACTGATTTATTCACCTGTCTATGCGGAAAAGTGAAGAGATCAAGATCAAGCTCAAGGATGGGATGGAGAAATAAAATAAAATAAAATGAACCTACCACGGGTTTTCCTCCTCCTGGAGCTGAATGGGTGGCCAGGAAAGAAATTAAGTTGAGAAAAAAATACGAATCGTAAAATCAGACCAAATCAGGCTTCAATAAAATGAAATACAAATAAAAATAAGATTATACACCTGAGAAAGAGAGGCAAAAAATCGTAGTCATTCTCACTGTTGGCTTCTATTGTGATCCAAATTCTTGTCGGGAAATAAATTGTCTCGTAATAAACACGATGCATGATTCTTTCGCGTCCATAATTTTAATATGATTTTATGATTTTAAAAAATTTAGATGAATTTTATCCTGAATTTGAAGATATTTCCAGGAATTTACAATTTAAAGTCTCCAAATTATTGAACAAGTTTTACTTAAAATTTTTACCACCAAACTGGAAATGTATTTTTCACAATTTTGTACCCTGCTTTTAAAGAATTTGTTTAAACAAATTGGAACTAAGGCAGCGCAAGTAATAGAAAAAATCTATAAGATGGGAAGTGAGGAAGTGTGACGAATCGCAACGAAATGGACCAGAACACGTTTGTGCCGTTATATGTATAACCGATAAGTTTCCAATTTATCCAGCATTTCTATTTACAGATGTAATGCAACACGACTCACATAAACGGAATTTAACTCCACATAACTATATGTTCATGCATATAAAAAAGCCATAATGCATCTAAATACTGTCAACCTTATATACATCGTCGCCAAAAGGAACAGTCATCTCAGGCTTGTGACTTGCCTCGAATGGGGTTAAATGTCAAAGTCAAGTTAACCTAATCGTACGTACATAAACCCATTCCAGTAAATCTCTAATCCATCCAACCCTCCAAATATTTTTTTACATCTTTAGCAAATTATTTTTTGACAGAATAATGCATAAATCTAACTCGCCGGCACCATAATTATTTATGACACCACTTCAAATTCCAAATTTAGTACGAAACTGGTCATTCCGTCTGGACGGATTTAGTCATGATTTTCTAATCCTGTCAAAAAACCCCGTGATTCTCGGAATGAATCAATAACGCTTGCGTAATGTAATAATAAACGCGTGTAATATCCGTTTAACTGGAAAACTCACGAACTTTTGTGCTTTCCCACCAATAAATAAAATTCCTCCTGCCGTTAAGTTTTTGTACCCATGTTCCCTGTTCTCCATACCGTGACCGGTCCATCACTCCAAAGTTGTTGGTAGCGAGCGATTCATCACTTAAATCAAGTCCAAACCACTCACCACTTGTACTTCAACTTTTGTTGTAGGTGTTGAACTGGAAATAAGACTTTAATGGGTGCGAAAGAGCGAGTAAAATGAAATAAATCTGAATGTAAATGTAAATGTCGAGTGGGTAACAACATGTGTTGTTGTTTTCAAGGAGCTGCTGCATTGTCCTGTCAAACGTTCTCTGGCATTAAGAGCACAATGGAATACATACACAAGAATATGTATGTATGCATGTACAGATACAATGTCCGTGGTGTCGAGTGGTGGAGCAAATTGCTTGTCCAGATTCGAAACTTGGATGAAAATGAAACACAATAAAAATATTGTAACACCCACTTTGAATAATAGTGGAGCAAGTAATGGACGTGAAGGGAGAGTGGTGTGGATAAGGTGATCAGTTGTACATACATATGAAAAGACTATGCGTTTATGAAAATGTGTAGCATACCGGTATAAATCTGGAGATGATGACGCGTAAATCGTTACATTTTTTTATCGGCATTGCCATAAAACTTACGTTAGTTCTAGTGTTTCATGGATTGGATACAAGATATGTAAATATTCCTTAGACTGTATAGTAAATCATGGAAAAATCGGGATTTGTTTTATGTGTACTTTCATTGTCCTGGATAAGCTTAACGGGACATGAAATCACGATTTGTGGAAGTTTTACTAGGTTAAAGTGGACAGCGCAATTTTATTTTTGTTCACTTCCACTGATTTTTTACCGGATGGACATTACAAACAGACGGGATAATTTCCTCGTTAACATTTAGGACCTTTTTAAATGTGCACTAGTTAACGTTACCTAAAATTCCTTCGTATGTGGCCCATTTCCCTCATTTATTTATTTCACTTAAAATTTTATGAAGGTACAAAAATATGTATGCAATGTCACCGAAATGAGACCAAATTCTATATTAATTCATCAAATGGGATTGGTTATAAGTTTATCATGATTTGTTTAATTCATCACTCATTTATATTTCGTTTAAAAAATGAGAATTGAAAATTTCAAGATGAAATGGGCACGGTTTTAATGCAAGTCCAGGTTTAAGAATTTACACATGACTCACTCACCCAATCCCGAAGAAAATTATACTTTCAGAATTGATAATTTCGCCTTTATCACTGATAAAACGTTCTGGGCAAAACCTTTCTGGATTACGAAATCTTTTCTCATCTTCGTAATAAAGGCGCAAATCAACGATAATCATGGTTCCCTGCATAAACAAAATGTGGACTAGATTTTTTAACTCCTGAAATTAAAATACTGAAATTTCATAAGTTTTTGTCTACCTTTTTTATTGCATAGTTTTTATACCAAATGTCGCCCATTGCTCTCCGAGGAAACGAGTTTTGTAGTGTCATCGCATTTCTATGCATTTCTAGGAGGAACACTTGCGTGTAAATCATGCTACAAACAAATAATTTCACAAAATTTTTGCATAAATTACCGCGATATGTGAGTGAGGGGGACGCTTTACTAAAATATTTTGATACTCTGGAATCCATGGCGTTAGGATTTTGTCAAATGTGTGGACATTCAGAGAGGTATTATATTAACAAAGAGGGGGATTTTGAGCTGGGAAATTAGTGAAACATCGAATTTATTTTGTACAGTAAAAATCAACCCAATAAAAATGAACCCAATTGATGCTCAACATTTGAGACGTGTTTTATGGTCCTTCCAATTTGTGAAGAGTTTCTCCACTCTATATTTTTTATTAATTTCCTGGGAAACATTGATAGTTACAGATGTACATATGCAATTCAACGGGATATGAAATCACGATAAATTTAAGTCCCACTTTAATTTACTAGATACCATTATAACTCAGAATTTCCTTACTTCCTCTAATTTAACCCTTTACCGGATGGAATAACGGGTTGTAGGTATAATTTCCACGTCAACATCATCCACATACTTGTCCATCCAATCATAATGATCCATCGGGCCTACTTTCGCTCATGAATGAATGACTGATACAGACGACGACTCGATGATGAATCATTTCCTCTTTCTTCTTCCTCCAATTCCATTTTATTTTACTATCCAATCCACTCCAACCAAATATGGAATCGTGAGAGACTTGAGTGCTGAAGGGTCCTCATCCTCCATTCGTATTGATGATTTATTGTGAGAATCGTATGTACGAGACCCGAGCAAAACCAGATCTTGGAATCTGTTCCCTTCTTCGTTTTTATTTAATTGTGGGACAAGCACAAGCCAACGCGTTGCACACTTTATCAATTTTTCGAGGAAATATATGTAGCTTTCCTT